TTTAATACCAGACCAGACATATTTGATTTGGATATTGTATTTGTAACATGGTGGTAAAACCCACAATTACATATTCATAAGTGGCATATACTTGCTTGCCCAAAATCACATGGGCTATGAGGGAAACACCAACGGCAACTATGAAGGACCTATTAGATCTCCCTTCTTTACATATAAATATAAGAGGGAAGGTGAAGATGGGATATTATACACTGTGACAAATATACAACATATTGCGAAAATATATAGACTTAGACGCACAATTATATGATTAGCACGATATAGAGAGGGATTCTAGTTAATATTTACGAACCTCGGTGAGAAGAGGGCAAGTGAAGAGATTTTTTGTGATATTTATGTGTATGTAGTGCTTTTCAGATAAAACTATCCACCTTAAATACCTTTTGAACTTTTAATTAGCGAAAAAACAAGTTAATTAATTTTTGAAGGGGGAGACATTATGTCATATTTAAACTTGCTAGGAAAGACACCCCCTCACCACTCGTATCATCCCTTTATTTTTTTTTAATTACTTCATCCTTTTTTTTATTTTATATTTGAATTCTTCTTTTTGTACTAATTTTAAAAATGTATAATAAATTCGGCTTGAAGTGATAAGTTTATGAGATAGACAATTTTTATTTGTTTACACTTTACAAAAAACAATTGAAATTGTAGGTTTATACTACAAAAATAATAATTGCGCAGGAGCTGCTGCTACAATTTTTAATTAAATACACCCCAATAGACATGCAACTCATAAGTATGTGATTGAACTGATGCAGAAATTAAGAGCCAGTTTGCAATAAAAAACATAACCGAGAGGGACTCGTAAATAACGAAGCAATCCAAATGGCCGTTTTAGGGCAAGTTAACTTAGAGGCTGAGCAATCATATTGACCCATCTTATTCTATTCACAGCAGCTCGAAATAGATCAGTTGACGTTAGGCCAGTCTGCTTCCTAAGATTGGCCAGCCAGGATATACGTCTACGTCCAGGGCCTCTCTTACCCTCAATCTTGCCTTGTAGAATCAACTGTAGAAGTCTGTATTTATCATTACGCATAATGGCCGAAGTAAGCCAATTTTCTGTTTTTTTATTATGTTAATAATTTCTTTGTCCTTTCTTAGCTTCCGGAGAATAGGTATGTTACTTGTGTGGTGTATATATGAGACCCTCAACATACGTCGGTAGCACCACGTTTCAAATGCCTCCAATCGTTTTATGGCATCTTCTGGAAATCTCCAGCTTTTTACTCCATAGAGGAGGACACTAAAGACGTTACATCTAAGAATTCTTATGCGTATATTGATATTTTAAGATAAGTTGCAGAGAATCATCCTAAGGCTGTTGAAAAACCTTCTGGCTTTTTCAATACGAGTTTTTATTTCATAGCTGTGATCCCAAATATCCTTAATATTGAAGTCCAAATAGCATATTTTTTCCACTCTTTCTAACGGTGTATCGCCTATTTCCATCTTAGCGTTTATGTTGGTGTTCTTACTAATGATCAATGATCATTTTTTTAGTCTTTTCCAATTTAGAGTTGCATCCATTCAAAATTAAATTTATACAATAGTTAAACGAAGAAGAATTTGGTCGTCGTCTCGAATTTTGCGAATTAATGACACAATGCATCATTAATAATCCATAATTGTTAAGCAATATTTGCTTTTTTGCTTTTTTTACATAATTGCCGATACTGGCCTGAGAGTGAGCCACATATTGTGCGCGAATTTCACACACAGCGTGCTCAAGGTAAAAGATGAAAGATATATTGGTCACCCAGGTCACCAGATTTAACACTCCTAGATTTTTTCTGGGGGTATGATGGGCATATTTAAAACAAAAATTTATGCTACTCAACCAGGATGATTTACGACAAAGAATAGAGGACGAATGTCGACAATTAAATGCAGACGTGGTAAGCAATGTCAGGAAAGATAGATTATATAATAAAATAGATTATAATATTCTATGGAAGTCAATGGCAGTTATTTTAAACAATTATTGTAAACATTTTTGGTAGTGAAATGTTCATTTTGAATATTTGTAACAAAATTATTAAAAAAATGTTTGAAGTTATACTTCTATACTTACGCACTTATGATGATTACATATTTATGTAAGATATAGGTAAGAGGGAGACAGAAGATATATTTTCCCTCTGTTTCTCCCTCGAGAATAAAAATGTTCCTTTTGTAAATATATTTAATATTTATTCATATTATTATTATTTTTTTAATATTATTATCATGGTAAATTAAACATATGCGTAAGTAAGTCAATTGTATGTAATGTATATTGTCAATTTTAAATATTTATGAATGTTGCAATTTATTTGTATTGTATTATTATATTAAATTATGTTGCAGTGTATTGTATTGTATTTTTAAATTAATAACAGAATAAACAATGAATTTTACTGCAGAGTATGTGTAAAAATTTTTTTTGCATTCAACTCCTTTTATACATATGTGAAAATAAAAATATATATTTTCATCAAAATATTTATTCAATCCTTCATTTACTATACTCCTATTACAGGTCAAATGTTGTTTATATACAGCAAAAGATACACCATATACCTATTTACCTAATTCTGTTTTTCTTTCTGCTCTCTCTTACCTATAGAATTTCATATGTAATGATTGTGCAGATTGACTCCCATATACATTTGTAACGGCGAACGCGTATATAGAAGTATAATTTCTACCAGTAATCCCTTTGGACTGCTACACTCGTTTTTTTTATCCAGTTTTCTTGATTTTGTATTTAAATTTTCTCATAAACTAATCACTTTAGGCATAATGTATTATACATTTTTTGTTGAAATCAGTACAAAGAGGAAAATTCAAATATCAAATAAAAAAAGGTAAAAGTAATTTAAAAAAAATTAACCTTTTTCATTCTTTACAGAGTAGTAGAAGGACAACGTTTGTATCCTATAGAGATGGGGAAATCAATGTGTTAGAGAGAGAAGTACCTTTTAGTGAGTAAGAGTGAGATAGATGTTGACTTCACAGACATTATATCAAGTGTCTATTCTTCTTATTATTCTTTCTGCGACTGCCAATTCTTCTTCTTTTTTCAAATGTCGAACTTTTGCGTTAAAATCACCAATATGATAACTAGTGCCATGCAAAGTTCATATGGGTAATTTTACTAATTCCTTCTTGAAAATAGAAAGTGGAAAAAAATGAAACACCATTTCGATATTGGGTTTTATTGAAAAATACAATTATTAATGTTACATACATCCCGCCAAAATTGAAAATCAATTATTGCAATTTCCAGGAAGAAACAGAATTACATCGAATATTTATTATAATTTTTAAAATAGATAGGTACAATTACAATTTAAGGCAGAAAAACAGTCACATTTAAAGGCATACTAGGCATAACGAATTCATGAAAGAACTTTATAACAAACAATAAACATTACCATCAGAAATTAGGTATAAAATAATAGGATTTTTATAGTAATATAGGTATATATAACTATTTTTTTTTAACATCCATTTGTCCTTTTACCTCAGCTTTTTATTAATGCCACTGCTAGTACTCATAGTAATACCTATTATTTGTTTTAAAGTTCTTTAGAATATTATTATTATATAATTCTGAAATATTTTTCTCGACAAACAAATAGTTTTTCTTATAAGTTAAATTTAATAATAGGGTGATACATTTTTAAATACTATAAATTAAACAACATCGTGCATTCTCTAATAAAAACGTTTACATGCGATTTTTTCTGTTTAATATTAGTAGGTTTGAGTCAACGGCCAACGGGTATACAATTCATAATACTTTTAGTAGTTTATAATCTTTCATTTCCTTGTTGATTTAGCAGGAAACCAATTTAACGCACACATAGGTTTTAAAAAAAGAAATATCATTTAATTCCGCTGAAAAGAACCGTACGTGATCAAAATTGTTCATGGTCTAAATATAGCTTACAAATGCAGATTTCAGCCTTGTGGCCAATACAGCAAATACTGTGTACCTACTAAGAAAATCTTGATATTTAGTCATTTACTTTTAACGACACTTGAAATGTATGCTAGTGGTGGTTATCACTGGTGTTAGATCTAGCTCACACATTTAATTCACGTCATCATGACACCCTCACCTGGAACGCCAAACAGGAATAAATTCCTTTTATTTTCTAGCCTGGTTCAATTAATCTGTGTGTAAATAATACTGCGTATAACATAATTAATTCCTGTAATGATTCAAAAAGTGGCGTAATTAGAGAAACCTGTTAATAGTGTTCTCTACATTTTCACTTATATTTGACTTGTCACGTTTTCTTGATTTTTTATCTCGTATGATACTGCGACATTATTACTACTAAACTTCCTGCTATTTTTTGACTCACCCAACTACTCGTTACGTACAAGGTGTTTTAAAATATTATCTGATCTATGTATCAATATCAGTCTTCCTTTGATTTGTATTTGGCCCTGAAAAATATGATGATTCATAATATTCCTTATAATCTAACAAACCTTTTATTAAACACCCTGTACTTTTAATCAAAAATATGTTAATTATCTGATATAGGTATCTATTTATCAATTAATATTTAAGTCACTAACGCAATCTGCAACCGCAAAAATTTTAACTATGTTTTATTACAGACATATATTCATTATGTTCAATCATTTATTATAGACGAGATGCGAGGAAATGTTTCCTTAGTTTAAGTAGGGCACAGTAATTTTAAAGTTAAGGTTTGGTTCTCTACAGACTTACAAGGAAAAGGTGGGACGGATTTAAGGTATTGTATGGCTAATACAACTAGTGGCACAAAAACAGCTAAAAAAATAAACTACGGATCTTGGATTTCTACGGTTGCAGAACCAAGTCAAAACTACACATTTAGAAGAATGTAAATAATACGGCCATTGCTATTAAAGATAAACTAAAATTTAATGTGCCAGCACTTGAACATTCAGCTGGCTTATCGCCCTGAATATACTGACATAGAGCTTTAACGAAATTGGGTCTGCGCTAAATCATTATCGCTTTGTTTATACTCTCCATTGAATACGATGGTGGGAACAGATTTTAGCGGCTTTTGGATTGCTTCTGTGGCTTTACCGAGAACTGAAAGGTAATTTGCAGCTGAAAAATGAAAAAAACTACGTTAAATATACAGCATATTAAAATATTAGGGAAAAATAAAACTATCTTAAAAATATAGAATAAAGGTACAAAAAGTGTGCGTTCACATGAATTACATATGATTTTCTCTTTAAAATTTTAGGTATGGCATAAAAGGTATAGAAACATCAACAGTTTTTTTGGAAGCCGTTAGGTCTAACCGTCATATTTTAGCCCATTGGCTTGTAATATTATGATAATGGTTTTACCTGAATTTTAGTCGTCTTTGACCTAGATAAATCTAAAGAGAATTGGCGATACTCTTCGGATCTTTCCTCATTTTTAGTTTAACCCTTCACTGCATCATGTTGTTCAACATACTAACAATAAACATTTATTTTAATAGCAGATAAAGATGAATCAGTTTGTGCATGACGTTGTTCACTAACAATGCAGTATTAGGTAATCAGTATCTAAGTAGACTAAACAATCATAGATAGCGTTAGTTACCAGTATTGTGTCTTCTTAGTTAGGTATTGTACAGTTACACGATTAGACACTGACATGTGCTTCAGATTGTTTTTGTTAGTTTTACCAAAGTAATTTGAGTAAATATATTTTACGTGTTATTAATAAGGTAAGTAAATGCATGATTTCTTGCGGTATATAGTACTGCGCATATTTTTCTCATAATGATGTTTTTTGTTGATGTTGTTTACAAACAAAATCATGCGTATCTAGTAAATTTTATCTTTTAGATAAAACATCATGAGTTGGAAAGATCAAAGGCCGCTGACTAAAGCCGCGTTTTCACGATGGCAATTGGCGAGACAATTGTCATTGGACAATTGTCATCACGTGGTTTCGGATTGTCAGAGGCCAGTCCAGTTGAACGAGAAGATGTTTATACGGGGCCAACTATTGCCATGGCAGTAGACAGCTATGTTTGTGCGTCACAGTGTTGCCACATTTTTTTGTATAAAGTATAAGAGTTTTTAAAATAGAAAGATACTTTGACGAAATTGTATATGTTTTAAAAAACTTATACAGAAGTAAAATGCTTCACACTTGTATTTGGGTATATACTTAGATACAGGTGAGGTGTTTTACTTCTGTATAAGTTTTTTAAACGATGGTATACAGCCAACTACTGGGACTTTCCCATTAATTTTTATATAATGTTTTGTTATGAGAAGCCACAATTTTTGAATTCATATTAAAAAGCATTCATAAAATAGTATTTTTTACTTTAAATATAGCCAAGTATTTAGTGTATTATTATGTTTAACCTATTTTTTTTTATTTTCATTTAACTTTACTTTATTCTGTAGTTTTTAAAGTTTCTAAACTATTAATTTTTACCTTAAGCATAATTTTAATTGGTTTTTATTATATAAGTATTTTAAATGTAAGATATAATTTTATTTTATAATATTTATAGGTATAATTTTAAGGCTTTTAATTATATATGTATTTTTCACGTTTTTGTTTAATTATATATGTATTTTTAAATTTTCATTTCATATATATAAATCTTGCCCATAATTTTATATATGAGAGTGTGAAATAATTGAGTATATGTCAACACTGACGTATATTAAGCTTACATTTAACGTCAAACATATCTATAGGTTATGTTCATTATACGAAAATTAAATTTAACCCAAATAACACAAATTACTACTGGCAGCACTACTGGCCTACAGCGTTCACACGGCACCAATTGTCGCGACAATTGAGATTTCGAGTGGTGGAGGGGCTAACTGGGCGCAGCTCATTGTCCTCAGTCTACTCCCGGAGACAACTGAATTTTGGGCCAATTGTGAGGGCAGTTGGCAAGGCAATTGGCCTGAAGTGTTTACACGAAGACAATAATTTCATGCCAGTCAGTTGTCTTCTGACAATTGTCTCGCCAATTGCCATCGTGAAAACGCGGCTTAACATGGAACTGGCCAATATAATAGATAGGGTTTGGGATAGCAAAGATGGGTTTGATGATGATTATCATGATATTGTCGATCCAGACTGCTTACCTGACGAACAAGTTGGTACATATGATGAGTCTAATAATGAGGATTCTAAACCAGTGAACGAAATGGACAAGAATACTGTAGACACTAATATCGTTAATAGCACTGTACAGGAAAAGCCTCCAGAAACTTTGGTTTACTCCAAGGGCAAAGGTATACTTATTTTACAATCAATTTGTCTTAGATGTCTTTTTATTTTAGACATTATATAAAGAAAAAAAATTGAACTTATCCGAACAGAAACTGAAATTTAAAGGAAATCAGAGTGTTCTAAATCATATCCTACAACTAGAAAGTCACTATGAATATTTAAATTTATTCTTCACAGATAGCCTTTAATTATATTTTATTTATTATATTATTATAGACAAAATTGTGGAGGAGTAAAATTTATATGCCATACAGTAGAATCCTAACAAACCACTGAATATTACACGAAGTGACATAAAACAGTTTGTTGGAATTACCTCCTTTGTTCATTTGCTGAATACAAGGGCATATTTGTCAGAAGAAATTGACTTTGAGAAAATAAAAAGTGTTGTTAATCACAGGTACGAAAAAATCAGACAATTTTTACATTTCAATAATAACGAGAATGCCTTATTCCGTGACATTTTAAACTACGATAGAGTTTATAAAATTAGACCAATTGATCACCTCGATAAAGAATGTTCAAACGGAATTCCATCGGAACAATATATGTCCGTCTACAAAGCTAGACACTACATGAAGCAGTACCTACCAAGCAAGCTACATAAATAGGGTTTTAAATTTCGTGTCTTATGCTGTAGCTCTGGATATGCGTATCGTATAGAATTATATATAGGGCAAACGAATGATCAAAAACGAGACATGCTTTTAAACCTGACCTCGGAGCAACTGCAAATGTTGTGGTGAGATTGGCTAGAATTATTCGTAGGAATATGAGTCACAGGCTTTATTTTGACAATTATTACTCTTCTATACCTCTCCTTGTATATGTTTAAAAACAAGGTATTCACAGTATAGGAACCGTAAAAGAGAATAGGATTCCAAATTGTAATGTTCCGGATGAAAAGGCTATGAAGAAAGAGGAAAGTGTAGAGTTTGTTGGTACTTGCAATGATGTGGAAATAAGTATCTTAGTGTGGAAAGATATCAAATTAGTTACATTTATATCGACTTTCGCTGGCGAAGTTCCTAAAACTACTGCCAAGAGATATGACAAGAAAGAAAAGAGAACAAAAAAAGTAAGTTGTCCATATCTTGTACAAGAATACAACCGTCATATGGGTGGTGTTAATTTATGGACTGCAATAGGGGCGGAATAAAATTATTCTAAAGAGAGAAAAAAATGGTATTTTAGCATATTTTACTAGCTTGGATTCTTTACAAGAATTCAGCTGAACATAGAACTGGCGCGAAGCCTAAAGCCACACACGCTCAGTTTAGAATACAACTGGCAGAAGTGTTATACAGGACAGGAGAGCGATTCACCATTGTAAAAAGGGAAAGACCTTCAGCAAGTGAAACTGAGAAGACGCTACAAATAAAGAAGAGAAAAGGCCCAGCACAAGTTATGCCAGTAAAGGATGTTCGAAAGGATGAAATTCACCATTGGCCTGTATGGTGCAAAATACAAATAAGGTGCACATTTCCACAGTGCAATCGCTTCACACTTTGCTTCACTAAAACGAAGAACTGTTTAAAAATTTGCATTTTCAATTTTCCTAAATATTGTTTTAAGTATATCCTTATTTGCATAATGTTGTTCATAAACAACACTTATATTTTTCCAAAATAAAAAAAATAGTTTTTCTGAATATTTTTTTTTTTTTCGTAAAAATAACGAAAATCCAATCTGCAAATTTTTTGAAACGCAAAATAGAAAATCATGTAGTGAAGGGTTAAATTTATTTTGATCAAAGATTTTAACTCTTAGAAACCATGTATCGTATCCATTCTGAAAGATACTAATTTGGCGTATATTTTTAAAACCGTTTAATATTTTTATTCAGCAATCTCAGTAGAAAAACAATTAGCATTTAATTTGATAATCTTATTTCTTGTTAAGTGCTCTGGTTTTAATATTAGCTACATGTGTACTTATTCACTAAAGTATTCACTCTATATTAAAAACTACTTACCATCTGTATGATTAGCACAGTTTTCAATATCCTGAAGATTGGAAACTGGATTAACTAATGCGCACTCAGTTGTTGGAAAAACCACTTTGGCTGTTTTGTCAGCTCTATCCATAAGGCAGTTGATGAAACCTACAGCAACCTTGTTAAAACCTAAACCTTCGCTGGGTAAACCCTTGTCAATAAGTCTCAAAGCACATGCTTGAATTTTGTTGCCGTAACACTCGATCTCTCCGTGATGACATTCAAATTTCCAGTCCGTTATGTCAAATTGCATCTGAAAATGGAGAAAAAAATATGTCACCATGTAAGAAACAATAAAAAAAGGTGTAAAAGTATATTTATTTATTCAAAGGATAAAATAACCCAACTTCTTATTTCTTTTTCTAATCATAATCTAGTGAATTACTCACTTTAATGTAAGTCTGCACGGTGAGTCATCGTGCCGACAGTATATGGTACTATACTTTTAACAGAATAGTGGGTTACAAATTAAGGCTTATCCTCAAAAATTCTAACGGTAAAATTCAGAGGGATATCTATTTCAAAAATATCTTTCTTTACGAAAACAAAATCCATTCATGAAGAATATTCTAAACGTCATCTTGTGCTAGAGGTTAGCTTTATACCTACAACCCCTGTGGTGAAAAGTCTTATACAATGTCTATACAATAAAGCTAACTAATTTCTACTATGTCTATACAATAAAGCGAGCGGTCTTCTATTCAGTGCAGTTTTGGGGTAATTAGAATAATACGAGTATACCAGAGTAATATTATTTATTGAATAATTAATTCACAACTAGGCAAGGGTACATATAGGTAACAAATAATTGTCCTGTAAATCATAACAATCAAATCAAAGACAAACTTTTATAAAATTTTATTACAAAATAATGTATAACAAGATATTTTTAGGTCATAGTATTCGTTTTTTATGTCTTTTATCTATTTTCTTTTGTTTTTTTTTGTTACTTTTTTTACTGACAAATTGCGTTTTTAACGTAGATTACAGTTTGATGATAAATATTCTGAAATGGAAAATATTGAGATGTGGCGAATAAAAACATTCATGAAGATAAAATAAAAGGATTTGCGTCTATTAGTAGTGCGATTTATAAAATTAGTAGTTGAAGCCCAAATCGCGGGAGGAATATGTGCATCAGTTTTCAAATATATATTATTTACTATATAATTTCTAAATTGAACCACTTTCACTTTTTTAGGTAACAATGATTTTGTTTTGACAACTAAATAATTAATTAGACAAAATGATGAGTATTATTAATTTCAAAACAGGAGTTTAAAGAATTAGAAGGAGGTAGTCCGGGTACAGTTGAACGGTCAAGCTTATTCCAGTGGAAGCAATAAGGAGGATTATTTTTCGTTTTGGCTCAGCTGACATGCTCTCTCTAGCACTACAACACATGAAACTGTGGTAAAAAGCATGCTTTTATTTACACGGTTGACAGAGACATCGAAGAAAGATATCTCGTCGAACTGGATGCAATAAAGTATGAGAATAGAAGGTACAGTCATGAATGGCATACAACGAAAGCAGCTCAAATGGTACAGACATGTCCAATGAATGAAACACATGTACCTGTATGAACACCTACAGGCATCCAGAAGAGAGGACTACCTTAGAAAACATGGATGGAAGGAATAAGAAACTCAATGAGCTCGAAAGAACTTAAAGAACGATGGAACCACCGAATTGAATGAAAAATGGACGTCGGAAGACGTCTTATAGGGATTATATCATATTATAGGTACAATATTATTATATCATATTATATAATATATGATATACACGATATTAAAGGAGGTTACAACATAGACAATCAACAAAATCTACATCGTCAACTACACAGACACAACAATAATAGAAGTGTCAAATGCCGTCCTAAAACTCAAAGACAATAAAGCCACAGGAATCGATTAAATCTGTTGGGAAATGTATAAAAAAGGTGGTGATCAACTTTTTGCAGTAATTAATAGACTAATAGTACTTAAATGGCAGAATGAATTGGTACCAGAAGAATGGCTAAATGAAACACTATGCGTTGCATAAAAAGGGCAATTAACTGGATTGTAAGAACTATAGAGGCATTATTCTGTTAGCATCTGCGTATCAAATCTTCGACAATGTATTGTTTGAAAGACTTCACAGTTTGAAAGACTTCACAGTTTGAAAGATTTTACAAAGGATATTGTTAGTCAATATCAATGCGGATTTACTGCTGCAAAATCAACTATACATCAAATTCAAACACATGGGCAGAAGTCACTAGAATATAACATAGATACACACTATCTCTTCGTCGACTTCAAAGCAGCCTATGACAGTGTTAAAAAAACAATTCTCATTCTTTAAGATGGTGTCAATGAATATCCTTAATTATTATAATCAAATTAGCTGTGAATTAACAAAATAACATGACTAACTTTAGCCCAAATGAACCTAGGCCAAATTTTATTTTATTTGAAAATTCGGGCGAAAATTTTAAAAAAAAGATTTTTTTTAAGGACAACGTTTTAAAGTTATTCTAAATGTTTATAAACTACGTAATTTCAAAAATTTGGCATCAGGATTTTTTAATATAATAAATCATTTTTTTATCTTTTTTTAATACATATTGATAGTATAAGTCTTTTGCTTTCATTTGTCACCCACAGCATTACCCTATCTTTATTATTTTCTGTCTTATGTTATTGTAAAAAAAGGTCTCTTGAATTAACAAATACAATAACTTTTAAACTAATTAATATATCGGTCCCAAATTTTGAGGGTTTGTTAAGTACCCCAATATCCAACCTTGGGTTAAACTCTAAAGTGTAAAGTTTAAGTTTACTAAAAGTTTTTAACAAATATCAATTGTCATTTATTTTGCAGTTTACAAAGCAACAAATTGACTTTTCAACTTACAAATATCGGCATTTTGAAGCTTTGTCAATATTCTAAAAAATAAAATTTTGTAATTTTATGTATTTAGCTTTCTAATGGAGTGCAAAAAATCGAAAGAATCGAAAGAAAAAAGAAAGAAAGTGTTTTTTTGCATTAAATTGTTAATCATTAAAAAACGGCTCCGACTTTAGGAAGGAAACAGATAGGTTTTCTTCTTATAGGTCTACAATAACTAAAAAAGTTGTCAGCTACCTGGATTATTGAGTGTCACGAGAAAATCCTTATTACCCTGGACTAATATGACTGGACAAGCAAGTGACGAAACAAACTTCATATATTATGTAAACTTTACTAACAAAAACGTTCAACATAAATATTCCAATAAATATAAATAATCAAATTCCATATTCAAATACTGCAAAATATTTGGGTATTGTCCAATAAATATAAATTATCAAATTTCATTTTCAAATACTGCAAAATATTTGGGTATTACTCTGAGCTTATGTAAAAAAGAAGAAAAGAAAATAATAATTCCGATTGAAATACAAAAAAATGTACTGGTTGATTGACCAAAATTCTACGCTGTTTCTACATAATAAATTATTATTATATGAGCAAATACTGAAACAATAGTATTCTTATAAAAACAGTATAAACATTTAGAAGGAAAATGTCACAAATCAACAGAAAATATTTCTATTCATATAAAAATTTAATCAAATTATAGGAACTTACTGTTTATTTATATAAAATTTTTTTTCCGGAACATAAATGTCTTCATGAACTACCCATTTTAAAAACAATTAACACACTGGTTTGTCAAAAGTCGGAATAAGCCCTAATAATTTTATTCAACATTATTTATGACCCACCCTCGAGATGGTATTATACTTCTTACCTACCCGTTGGCGAGAATCCAGAAACTATTGACAAGGACAGCCTGTACTGACCGAGAGAGACAGTTACATTTAGCAGAACTTTGAGATTTTTTAAAAAGTTTTAAAAAGTAACCAAATAGCTGCTTTGTGTTACACTTTATGTTAAAAATAAAAACATATTCGGAAAGTGGGTCAAATTCTGTAGTGTCCTTTTTAAAAAAAAATTACGTTTATTTTAACCAAAAATATTTGAAAAAAAAAAATATTATTTAAACAATTTATTAATTTACAACCAAATAGTGTACTAGAAGTTTTTAAGACCTTCCCTATAAAAAAAAAGAATCATCTCAATATCTGCCATAGTTTTTGCGTTATTTGGTATAAACTTTTATATTGGAATTTGCTATGCCCAGAATCGCGAAGAACGGCCTTAAAATTATGGATGTTTTATATTTACTTGTAAAAATAACTGACGCTGTCTAGTCACTTTAAAAGCAAGGCACGAGAAGATCAATTACTCCAGTCCTTAAAGACGTAAATGCCATTGAACGCCAAAAAGATGAATAAAAGTTTGTAACCCCTAACTCAGCTTCCCCTCAAAACACCCCTGGAAAAACCGGAAAACAGTTATTTACAAAATTCTAAGGTGCCCGGGAAAAAGAGTCACAAATTGGCCAAAAAATCAAGTTAACATTGCATTTCACAGTTTGGTAACTTATTTGCTTTAATCTTATTTGCATAAGTCTTATTTGCTTTAAAATTCTATTTTACCTATTAGGTGGAAACAGTATAACTATATAAACCTGATACAATTAGTATAAAGTCAACTTGTACTATAAAGATCACTTTTTATTTCTGAATAAACTGACTTATACTCTTTGTACCTAACCTAAAAATTATTTAAGCGTTGCTTTTATGAGTGTTAATATGCAATTCGAAAGCAAAAAAGTAAAAAACGATCAAAAAAAAATATAAAAAAATTATATTAATAAGCAATGGCTGGTTCAATAACCAAAAGAATGTTGGAACTTTTGAAAAACAACGGTAGGTTAAAATATTTATAACTTTATAGTTCGTTTTTGTTTTTTACATTATCGTAGGATTAGAAATTATAAACTTGTTTCTTTCTAGATAATAATATAGGGATACAGATTGTTAGAATTTTATATGTATAAGTGAGATTTTTTATAATATTTAAATATGTCAAACAAAATTGGTAAATTTGATGAATATTTTTAGACGAAAGCAAAAACCAAATCGACGAAAATTATTGTTCTTGTTCTGGATTACATGCAGAGCAGGAGATCGCTGTTGTTGAAACCACTGATATTACTCTTTGGGATACGGATTTATAATGGCCTTCTCCTGCAACGGGATTGAGGAAGAGCTCATTAATTTAGATGCTGTTCCAGGTAAAACATTTTTGTTTTGCTTGTTATAAAATGAATTAATTTTATTCTTTTTCATTTTTAGGTACTTCAAAGGACTCTATTAATAATACTCGTACTAGTGAAATACA